GTATTTGTATATATATATATATATATATATATATATGAGGGACAAATTTACGTGGAGAATTTAGATGCATAATGATTTTCGTATTGCATTTGAGAAAGCAATTATTTGTTCCTCAAACAAAAAGATCTTGGGTTTTCCAAAGCTGTTTGTCAAGAGTAACACCAACATAATTACGCATTAGGCCAATGTCTTAAAACCTAGATCGTTGTGGTAGATCATTCACTTATAAATCAATGTTGGATTGGTGATCTGGATTGAGTTTAGATCAATGATTTAGAAAAATATTAATAAATAAATAAAATAAAATGAAATTAAGACAGGCAAAGATTTACAAGGGACTTAAGAGAACATTAGATTATAGCTTAAAGCAAAGTAAGGGTGCCAATGGCCCGATCATCTCGGCCTAGCCCGGTCCGCTTAACCCTAAAAGCTAAGGCCTATGCCACAAAATGTGGCATGAGGATTGGGCAACTATGGCCCGAGGTGGACCATGGACAAGCCAACTTGGGCCTTTTTTCATAATTTTTTTTATTTTATTTGGCCCAGCTCAGGCTGGCCTTGTTTTGATAGGGTAAGGTTTAGCCCTCGGCCAGGGTTTCTTTGGCCCGATCATGGCCGGTGCAACCTTGGGCTAGCCTTATGAGAATTGTGGCTCGAGGTGGGCCATGGACAAGCCAACTTGGGCCTTTTTTTATCATTTTTTTTATTTTATTTGGCCTAGCTCAGGCCAGCCTTGTTTTGATAGGATTAGGTCTAGCCGTTAGCCAGGGCTTCTTTGGCCCGATCATGGCCGGTGCAACCTTTGGCTAGCCTTATGAGAACTATGGCTGGGTTAGGGCTAGGGCTAGCCTACCCTAGCCCCGACCTGGGGGGTATTGATGTTAGTAAAAAATTGGCCCCCGACCTACCATCATAAAATCTTTAGTCCCAACCAGTTCCCATCAAAATGATCCGGATTAAAAATCACCGGGTTATCAAACACTACGTCGGGTTCTTTTTACATACACATGCTTTTGACTAACTTAAGAGCAAGGTTACGATTTAAATTTGGTGACTTTTAAGCAAAAAACATTTATTTTCTTTTTCGAATTATGCCTCGTCGTCTCAGGTCCTTCATAATAAAATATTAGGGACATTTTCTCTTTCCTTGGTGGTTCCCTCGCTTCTTAGCTGCTCCTGCTCTCTACTTTTTGTATCACTCAGAGAAAAACTTCCAAACTTGTAGTCGATCCAAATTCCATGACCTTAAATCGCTTAAAAGCCCTAAGTCATCGCCTTTCTCTGCAAATCTCACTCTTAATTTCTCTGTCATTTTCACCTGTTTTTAGATCCATTTTCCATAAAGGCTTCCTCGATCTGCATAGGAGGATCGTCGTTGTCTTGCTGAGAAAGCCTTTAGAGCCTGATATTTTCGCATTTTCTCGATAGGAGGGAGTTTGCTCGTGATCTTGTTTCTCATCGAGCTGATTGCTCGATCTGATCTCAAAGAGAAGTTATTGGAGTTAAGCGAAGCTTTTCACCATGGATTCAGTAATGAACCCGTTCTCATCAGGAACCCGGTTAAGGTGATACATACTGGTTCAATTCTTATTCGTTGTTAAAATATTTGAATTTTGATCGTGTAATATTATGCGGATTGTTTTTTTTGCCCAGATTACTCTTACTACTCCCCATTAATTAGAAGTAGAATTGAGGTTCTTCCGAATCTTGTGCCTCTGAAAATTGATTGTTGATTAGTTAATTTTCAGATTGTTGATTAGTTACTGAAATATCTATGTGAATTTGCTTTGCTTAATTGCTTGAGAGCTAGAACCAATATTGCTACCAATTATATGTGTGAATAATAATATTATGCTCCTCAGTTTTAGATAATTAGTTGTTTTAGCCTATCTATCAATGTGGCAATGGACTTGGTTCAATTTTTGCTGAGTACTGTTTTGTGAATGATAGCATTTTACTTTAATTGCTACTGCCTAGTGGATTTATTATCCGTGAATAAACCATTTGTGTGTACGGGCTGTCTTCTAATTCGTTGGTATCAATAAGACTATCGTTTTTCTTTGTTTGGCCTAAGTCCTAATTCCTATCCTAATAATGAGATTTGTTTCAATCTCCAACTATATGCCTGATACATGGGAAATTCTTTGGGATGTACAAATCCTTTTTGAAGAATTTTTTTAAAAAAAGGAAAGATTATGGGTTCCTTTCACAAGGTCTGTGATTAACTCTGTAGTTCATGTCTTCAGACATCTCTAGTGGTTTTTATTTTGAATTTCTGGGTTCTATCCTCAAACAGGTGATGCTGACACATTATCAGCACTCGTAAGCTTAACAATTATTCAAAATAATGAAGCTCTTTTTTGCATTGTGCTCTAATTGTGACTGAGTCGCACATTGACTAAATTACAGCTCAACCATCTTGCCAATGTCTCATACCTTTGTATTAAATAATTCAAATACAAAATCTCCGGTGAGAATGTGCATTATGGAACATTCCCTCTATTTTTTGGACATATGATGTAGAATTTCATTGATAGAATGTGAATAACTGAAGGTTGAAGCATTCATATTGAAAGTCCCTAAGAGAAAATGAAAAAAGGTTAGAAAAGAGAACCAACAACTCAGTAAATAAAGCTCAAAGCAATTTTTTTGGTTTTTGTTTAGAATGACATGGAACTGGCAAAATCTGTTGCTGCACTTTTTACTTTGTGCATGCATCAGAACCTGATACTTTCATGTACTACACTATTCATTCAATGACTTCCACCAATCTTGCTTCATGGAAGTTGGGCTAAATTGCAACTTAGTATTACCAAAAATTAATAGTCTGTGTGACAGATGCTCTGAAGCTCCAAATTTGACCTCTGGCCGATTGTCTGCCATTAAAGGATGAAATTGGAAAACTATAGTGTAGTGCAACATCAAAAAGTTTTTTTTTTGGACTCTTTAGGGAAACTAAATGAACGCCTTCATGTGGCGGACACAAGGCATATGGGTATAACTCTTGGGATAGGTTTTGTAGGCAATGGTGTTGGATTGAAAAAGATTGTCAATGGTGTGAATGGATGTGCTATTCATGTTGGCCCTAGGATTGCATATTCATCTTTGGAGACATAGATTGCATTATTCAAGAAGTGACCTCTTCCAAACATATCAATTTCCACTCTATTAGCGACCTCTTTATAACATACATGTGTGGTTATAAGCTATGGTTTGCGCTCCAAAGCAGATTATCCAAAACTATGCTAGGATAGAAGTGTGCTAAAGTAGTTGTGCCAAAGTGGGAGAGAAAATGCCACAGACAATCGCTGTACAGTTTTAGTGTAGCCTATACCAACTAGAACAGATTCAGTAGGAAAGACCGAATCTGGCCACTTCATTCCAATTGAACAAACAGGTGATCTATGATTTCCTGATGTATTCTAAACTAGCTACTCCCTAACCTTCAGTTGCAAGACCCTAAATCACGTTTATGGAACAATCTTATTTCCAATAAGGCTAAGTATTGACAATTTCAGCATGTACTCATCCACAAAGTAAATGAGCAAACTTGAGTAAATCAACATTTTGCTTTAATGCCAAGGAGATGAGGTGTCCAATCAGGAATGGATTGAAATATGTCCTTAAACAACATTGGTCAAAATTTAGGGCTAGCCTACAGCCTAGGGAGAAGAAGAGGTTGTGTCATAGGGTCTCCAACAACTAGTTCTAGGGTTTTGATATTGGTAGTGTACAAAAATTATTGACTTCATCCAATGGAAGGCCATGATTCTCATCTTTGCCTTGCAACCTTTGCTCATGAGACAATGATTGATTAGGTGGAATCTCCCTCCATTGGATCTGGTCCACCATGATGGCCTTTTTGTTAAAGACTAACCAACTAAAAGCACCTTGCTGGGGTTGGTCTGAACCAGACCTTGCTGGGTGTAGTAGGGACACCAGAATTGGGTGAAGGTCCTTATAAAAGGACGATACTGAGAAGGAGCTTGAGGAGGCTGGGATCCACACCATCTTGTCCCTACTAGAGTGGGGTATAAAATGGGAGTTTGAGGAGGGACAACAATGCCTCCAGCTCTGCGATCTTGGCATCATGGAGATTTCTCCTAAACCTCGGCATCCATACCATAGTTGTTGGGATCAGGATTGAGATTGGATTCTGGATTGGGATCATGGATCTCGACAAGCAAAAAGCTCCCTAGAGTAGGGATCACTGCCTGTACACCCTAAAATCTAGGGATCTCAATCCTAATATGTGGGGAACCTCAATTGTAACTTAAATGGGATCAAATGATAAATCATCCAGGGCCAAGCTCATTTGGTTAAAAATTGAGGCCCTCGAGAGCACTAAACTAGGGCTCCCTAGGTTAGGAGTGTACAACGTTTTAATTGATTTTTAATTTTTAT